GGGCCAGTCGGATCCCTTCCCGGATCAATCGCTTGTCACACTATGCCTGTTGTTAACAAAACGGCTGTATCTACTTCTAGGATTGGGCATTCAAGTATAATTAAATTGCTAAGATTAAGTCTGAAACTACTAACAGCTCGTATCTGCCCCAAGCTACTGCCATGGGTTTGTTAACTTACTGTACTGCTAGTGCTGCTGCTCCTGAGAGTTAATCAAATCATTCTGGCAGTAAAGTACCACCTTTGAGGGGAGGAAAACGAACCAAGCAAAATAAATTCTTATTTGCAGACAGGCTAACGGACACCCGTACAGACAACAGGCATTTGGACCTGAACGCTGAAAGCATCCCTTTAAATTATCCTTGCATGAGGATAGCATCAATATACATTTTACATTGAAAAAAGAAAGTTGGCAATCAGAATTAGATTCAAGCTTTGCACCCACTCCACACACTGCAAAGTTTTGTGCTGCTCTTTCAAACTGTTACTTACTAAATATTGTCACGGTTTGGTGCAATACAGCTGACAGCGAGTGGTGTAAGCTTAGAGCATCCCTGCCACTATATACATAGGTATATGAAAGGAAGTGACACAAAAGTCCTTGTTTTAGAAGTGGTCTGTGCAGTATCTTTAGTAGCTTGCACATGATGAAATGTTCCCTCTAGAGCACGGGTAAATGGTGCCCGGACCAAATGAGGAATCGCTTCACTTCAAGCTGCTGGTGGTCAGAGGGAGAGAGAAGTTCCAGTTGTTTTTATTCAGGCAGTGACCAAGTAGGACATAATCCCTCTGGACCTCACTTACTTCACAGGTTAAATAAGGGCAGAAAAAGCTTCTCTGCCTCACAGGGATGTTGAGGCCTCATTAGCATGCAGAAAGCTTTGAAATTCTGGGAAAAAGGCATTAAATACTATAAAATATTATTATAAATTACTTAATATGACGGGACACTTGCCGTAAGAAATGAGGTCCCAAGAAAACCAGGGGATGCTTTTTTAATCGCTCATCATTTTACCATATCTGCTCACCAGCAACAGAATTTCTAATTCTTGTTCAAAAACAGTCAAGTACAGAATAGTTTGGAAAATCTAAATTGAGGAGAATGTATACGTGGGATTGGAGAAGTTCTCTATTGCAGTAGGTGACTTTCCTGCAGGCTGTGTCGAACACAAGCAGCTCATAAGCAAACAGTGTCTAGTGGCCTCAGCTTGATCAGCACCTAAATTCAGTGGCACCTCCTACTCCGTATCGTCCCATCAGCACTGCAGATCCTAGAGATCAGCTGAATTGTAGGACAGGTATCATTTGCATATAAGACTGGATCTTTCTATCTCATTTTAAAATTACAACAAAGGAAACATCATTTTTTCATACTCAAGGTTTTCCGAGTTGAGGATTTGCTTCCATGCATACATGAACAGCAATCTTAGAAAACAAGAGGCTGATTTATTGTTGTACCCAGCTGAGGAAACCCAAACTCATTACTAGAATACATACCACGTCAGCACACTTTTTTCCTGTTTTGAATAATGTAATTGTTTGACAAGAACTACCCACTTAAAACCCCTTTTCTTCAAACTCCAAGGCAGAATTTTATTTTGCTATTCCTGAAATGTAAATTTCAAGCATGTGATGGGATAACATAATAATAATAATGAACACATTAAGAACATGTTTAAGAACGTTTTCATCTTTAGCTTTTCTTCCGCAGTTTATTGTATTAGTTACGCTTTTAAACATTCAGAGCACTCACATTTCAAAACAGAAAACGTGTAGTTCCACACTGAGATACTAGTGCAAAAAGTGGTTTATCTAAGTGCAGATAAGTTACATGCCCCCACTGAGAGCCAATGGGTTCTGGATTCAACGGCATACAGCTCTTAAGTCCATAACTAATGATCACATTATTTACAATAAATCTGAGTATGTTGTAGTCAGGAGAAATATTGGACTCTGGTAGCAACCAAATAGTTTCACAGTACAAATAAGAGAGCAGAACGGTTCTAATTTAAGCAGATCTGTGAATTCACTGTGATTAAAGAACAGCAGCAGCATTCTTCTGAGCTGACTCAAGTTTTAAATAGATGTAAAATGTTCTACTTGATGTTCAATTCCAATTATTAAAATACAACAAAGCTCACAAACATGCAGGTATTATATTCCAGTGAATGCCACAGGTCATCTTTGGCACATCACAGACAGTACCTGAACACTGAATATAGAACCAAATAGTATACCTCATGAAATAATCTTGACCTGGCAAGAGGATAAATGAGAAAACTCAAAGATCCTTCCCATCTCCAACTTCAATAACTGTTGCCAAAAAAATTATTAAACCAAGACAGAAATAAGATAATGCCTCTTAATTATACAGCACATTCTAAAACCAAAGTTCAATTAAATTCAATGTCAAATAAATCTTATTCAACTCACTAATGCTACTGTCTGGGGTCACTGCAATGAAATACAGTCCATATCGTCAGGAGTAGTTATCAAAAAAAAAAAAAAATCTTCATTCATTTATCTTAAAGAACTTCTGTGATGTAAAAAAAATTTTGAGACATTTCATAAATAATATCTTTATTAATGACAGTTTTCTTTGTCATCTCACATTCTTTAGAGTGATGTGTAATTGAAATCTGCATAGTCAGAGTGCAAAAAAAAAAAAAATCATAGCAGTTGGATCCAGACGTGAAAGTTGCTTTCTTTATAAATAAGACCGATCACAATCATTCGAATGAACAACCTCCAGAATGGGATGGGGGGTGGGAGGAGGATGAAAGCCACCAGAAAAAAACTCATTTCATCAGTATATCTTTCCATCAATAAAGTCTTCACACAAAGACACACAACACCCAATCACATTCACACACACAACAGAATGCAACCTACAGGAGAAAAAGATATTTCTTCCCCTGAATGAAATGAAACAGAGTGAGATTGTGTTTCTAACTGAGTGGTGATCAGCTATTGCCACAACGGGAACCATCACAATACCCAGATGGATAAAAAAATGGTCCAAGTTTCTTCACGTCCTTACTACAACCACGTTTAAATTAGCATCTTACAGTATGAAATATGAAATATGAGTATTTCCACAACACTAAGAACTACTCTCAACACACACTTTTAAAGCATTATCATCTCCATATTTTTTTGAATTCTTAATACTGTCATCCCTTTCTGCTAATGTTATTCCAGTTGGCTGGAATAACAGCTGAGGAGGACCCCGGCTCTGCCTCAACGCCCACACAACGGCTCAGCCAGCAGCAGCGATCGGCAAGCACCCCCACGCCAGCGACGAGAGGGGCAGCAGAACACCTCCGCTTCCAGCTTCATTTCCATTAGCACAGGCAACGCAATCCCAAGTTTCCCGTACCAACATCATGGCATGACTGCAAGAAGTATTTTTAATATTTACACCGCCAGTTGATTTAGCTGTTGTTCACCATTTTAACTTTTATCAGAAAAATCTAGCAAAAAAAAAAAAGGCATGTCCTCAGATATACTTGCTGTACGTCGCAAGAACTTGCATATGTCCACAGACATATGGGCCATTTCCATTTCTTACCTGCAGTTTCAATTTATGCAACACAGACACTACTCCACAGCTGACCACTAGTTTAAATAAAGAATTCTCTTACGTTGGCCAGTTGAAAGAGTTATTTGATACCATCACTTGTGGCCTTTACCATGCACAAACTAGGCTTAACATTTTTAAACAATTGTGCAGTCACAAATTTCAGTTATAAACAGAATTTATGCTAGGTTCTGAATTATTCATCTTATTCATATGCACAATTTAGGACTGTGGGAAACTGATCATCATTATTCAATCATACAAGTCCAGATCTGGGCAAGGAGTACCTCTTGTCTCTTCACTGTGAGCCTTTAAACTTTAAATCTGAAAGTCAAGCCCAGTAGGTCAAGAGCCAAAATTCTTGATGAAGTCAAGATGGTCAGAAGTACATTTGCTGCCATGGATATTGAAAGCATAAGGCCTAGAGCATTTTGGAAAAGACCTATAACAGCGAGTAAAAGAAGTCCCAAACTTGCGATTCAGTAAGAACATTTGTATCAGTTCTTACTCTTACATGAGCCAAACTTAAAACTCTGCAGTGAAACTCAAATCCACCACAGTGAAATGATGATTCCAGGGTTGAAATCCTACCTTCAGTAGATAGATTACAGAGCAAAACATCCTACAGGGCACAAAACCACAAATCGCAAATCGCATGGCAACGTCACCTAATACCAACAAGAAGCTGATATACACACGAGTCAACGTCCCTTCTTTGAAAATAACCTGCTTTTCTCTCCGGCAACTAATGCACTCAAAGATGGAGAAAGAACAGTCATAAAAGTCTGGAAACAAGTACTGAAGATAAAATTCTAGCCCAGGAAGAAGCCACCTGGGCCTCCAGCGACTGCCATACTGATTAGGCTTCAGGGCAGAACTGCAGAAAATAATCCATCTCGTCCCAATTCAGGACATCAAAAATGAAATTATCCAGTAGGGTGAGGGCTGACACATTTTTACAAGCAACAGTGACAAAGTGTTTACTGGCAATTTCACACTCAAATCCTCAGGCAGAACCAAATCTAATTACATTAAGCACAGACTATTTAGTGCAGTACTATTTTTAATTTCTTCAGTAAAATTTGTATTTCTTGTGTCATTTGGGGGGTTTAATTCAAGATACCAATTGAGCAAAATCACTTTTGTCATTAGTTCAAGATTTACATTGGCAGAGCTGATTTATTTTATATGTATTTTTAAAGGTGGTGGTTATAGGGCATATGACTAGATTTTTCTTCTATTAGTGTAAAATCCTAAAACAAATGCAACTTGGTAGCCTGGTAACAAAAAACCACCCCCCGTACTCTTTAACTTACAATGAAATTACCTTGCAGCCTTCTGTGTTTCAAGAAAATATCTCACATGTTCAGATCATCAGACAGCCTTACTAATTAAGACACATTAAAATGAAACATTTCCCATTAAAGATGCGAAAAAATGGATTTAAATTTATTGCATGACGTTGCATAAGAAAGTATATTATTGAAAACTGTAAGGCATCATGCAATTATCCATCAGCTAATTATTTATTATTCCTTGAAAGGTGGTTATATACTCTAAAGTTATAAAACCAGTCTCAAAAAAGTACATAAAAAAATTTAACATGATAAGCATTAAATATTTTTCACATGTCTGTAGTTTTTAGCTGTTAAAAAGTGCATTCAAACATACTGTACTGGAAAGTTGCTCTCAAAAAATGGTGCTGGAGACTTGTTAAATTAAAAGTTGCAAAAGAACGTCGTATGGGATTAGAAAGCTAACATGTTGCGGTACTTAAACTTACAAACCTGCTCGAAATAATTTTTCAATCCTCACACAAGTTAGCATGGGTGATATAATTATCTAAAAACATGTTTTTATAACTAAACAGTCAAATGAATTCAAGTTACGTACACTGAGTGATCAAAAAGGAGCAGACTTAATATTCAGACATGGGAGGACAGAATGTACTAATGTGATTTTGGCATTAATCAATGTACTGTGCCATCCAACGAAATCCTTCTCCGTAGCCTTGTCTCTTCAGCACGCTGCACATAAACACTTCTAGCGGCCTTGCATTCAGTTCTTTCAACGGCACACTGCCCTGAAAAGAGAAAGAAGCATTGCAAATCACAGTATCTTTATAAAAAGATGGCTACTTTGCCCTCCTTAGCACAGCCCCACTGCTGGTTGTCTCACGTAAGCTGGGATGGTAGTCACACCAGAACAGCTTGTCAGCTGCAGGGCTGCTAGTGCAACATCGCTATATTAAGCGAGGTGGTTTTCCAAGGACAAACAAAATTGCTTCTAATCCCCTGTGCCCAAATAACTGCTACAATTTACTTGTATTTACTTTAAATTAAAAAGTTCAAGTATCACAAAGACCCATAACACATATCCACCTCATTGTTACAGATGCCAGCAGGAACTTTCTTCACAACCCTCCTACAAACTCAGACTGCTACAATGGTACACATCTACTTCTAAACCTAGAAAAGGTGGCTTTGGAAGTGATAAATAAAAGCAGAGATGTCTCTAATACAAAAGATAGGGACTCCAGAATTTATTGGATATCTGGCTGATGCGTACTAAGTATTTTATACATTAAAAAACATTTATTCTGTGTAGCTGGAGTGAACTGGAGCTAACACACAAATTAAGGCAAGCATAAGCTCCCTAACAGCGAAAGCAGCGTTACCTTTCCAGTTGTCTGACCGTACAGACCAAACGTCTCTCGTAACCTCTCTTCACTGATGGCTTCAGGTCTGTCAATCTTATTACCAAGAATTAGGATAGGCACATTAGCAATAGTTTCATCTGTCATTAGTGACTACAAAGAAAAAGAGAAAAGAGGACAGATTAATTTAAAGTACAGTTTGTTTTAGGGGTTTACAGTGAGATAAAATTAAGCATTGGTGAATCTTGGCCTTCCTAAACACTAACAGAGGCAAACCAAACATCTCATGCTTAGATTAAATTTGCTGTTGTTTGGTGCATCAAAATTAATTGATGGGAATCATTTAATGTGCTTGGGGAAAGAGAAATGAAATTATTCATAATGCAGAACACATCACAAATGGAATGACATTGATATAACTGGCAGAATAAAGCGTTCAGCTACCAGGGCCCTTACCAATGCATACAGCAAAGCATACTAAGGGGAGGGTGCCAGAACCAACATACAACTAGATGGGAACAAGGATGCAGAAAGTCAAATTGCTGGTACTCATGACTAAGTGGCAAGAGAGTTCTGTTGAATATTGTTAGAAGTTAAAGTTCAAACTTTCAAAACTCAATTTAAACTTACATCAAGTTCTTCTTTTGATTCAAGCAATCTTTCATGATCTGCACAGTCCACCAAGAATACAATGCCATTAATAGCAGGCAGATAGTTTTTCCACACTCTGCGAGCTGTAAAGGAGGTATGAATTAAAAACAAAAGTAATTATCTCAAAATCCAGAGTAATGCACATCAATAATTAAGAGGTAATAGGCTCTTTTTTTTTCTTATATTGTCAGCCTTTAGGATAAAATTTCATGCTCTATAGAGCTTGAAATAACAGAGGAAAAATATCATTTCCTCAACTGTTATCGCCACTCTGACTTATCTAGCCCGCATACACACTTACGTACTGGAACCTTTTGTGTTACCCCAAGAATTATGTCAGTAAAGGTAAGCTTAAACCATACAGGTTAAAGGTAAAGGTCAGGCGAAAGATACAGATTAAGTTTAAACCACAGAGGTTAAAGGTTAAGTTTTGCTGAAGCAAAAACAAACTACTCCTCTTCAAAGTATAGACATTTCTGCTCTACTACAGCTCTTTCCAAACTGTATTAGGGGGGCGCGATGTATGGTGGAGACAGGCAACAAAGTAGGGAATGCTTTCTACGCTGTCAAAGAAAACACGGGAAGTTAATTTTTGCAGCATGGTCATATTTCTGATTCGAGACAAATTGACTATAGACAATTCTTCAACTTAACTCAGTGCAGTTATATGAGTCAACATATTCTCTCACCTTGAGCATGTCCACCCAGATCAAAGGTAGTGAAAGTCATACCAGCAATTGTCAGCTCTTCTGAAGCTAGAAATACACAGAATTCTGTTTCTGAAGATTATATAAAACATCGGAATAGTCTAACCTTCTGGGACGCAGATTTTACTTTTTGTCTTTGTGGTTTTCAGTGTTTTGTCATTCAAGAACCAAACCAGACCAATGTGGCTTCTCTCAAAATCAATGACACACAGTTGTATAACAACGAAATGCTATTAACCATTAAAACACACATAAAATAGATAGAATGTTAGGAAAATAAGAGAGAATGTTCTCACATATTTATCCCTAAACGTGACATACAAAATAGTTGGCTCTGGTATCTGGTTCACCACGGACACGAAATTTCATGTAAAATGCTGTTCAAGGTTTCTCTTCTTCACGTCCTTCCCCAATTTATCACGTCCTTATTAAACTTCACCAACCCCATTTTAACCTCAGCTGAACTTTTCCTCCGGCAAGGCTACCGTGATAAGAATTACATAGCAACCTTTTAGTCAACAAAAATCGAAACTGTACATAAATGCTAATTTTTCAGCTAGACAGAGAAGCTGCTCTTGAAAATGCAGGCCCTAATTTCTCACAGCTTCTCTAATCCAGACTTGCAACTCCATTTCTCTGCTTGTTACTTGTCTCTTAATTTTAAATACATCACATTGAAACATCCTACACATATTTTGTTTTTTACATTATTTGAACCGTCGATGGACTGTGATTTGCCTCAAGGGGTTCTGATCCCTGAAAGTCCTTTGTTTCTCCCCAGTTGTTTTTTTAGTCTCATGGTGTATAATAAGATACTGCTTCTTCCTGTAATACTTCAAATACTTTCTACTGCTATGAAACTAGGAATATTAACTTACTGGGGTGTAACGTGGGGACATGCTGTCCCAGTCTGTCGTCTTTGAGCATGTGCAGCAGCGTAGTTTTTCCAGCATTGTCCAGTCCAAGAAACACTAGTTTGCCTGATTTCTTGTACAGTCCTACAAAAAAGGAGGACCTAAGATCAATGAATGATCAGTCAAATCAGTAAAAGCATTACCACAACAACATTGCCTGACAGGAACGCAAATCACGTACATATAAAATACATACATCTAGACTGACAGCAATTGCACAGTCAAGCAAACTTAAGCATAAACCTCTCTCACATTCTGTGGGATCTGCTAATCTGCAAAATCAAAATACCTTCCTACGTGTCCTACAGATTTCTGCCAGCACAGGCACGACAGCCAGCAGTGAAGAGGGGTGTGATTGGTAATTAACACAGTCACATGCAATAACTGCATTTCTAACACTAGCGATCATTTTGCTGGCAAGACCAGTTTTACAGTCATGGTACAAAATACAGACCAGCCAAGCCTCACAGTATGCTTTATCAACGTCCCTTATCAGGATTCCTCTACTAGTACAAACTTCACTTACAGGTGCATCTTGTCAGCTTACGTGACATCTACGTGACATTTTGGGGGGGAGACGCACACAACTGATGTGAAAACGTCACATGTGTAAATGCATTTACATTACCTTAGCAAAACTAAAACAAAAAAGGACTAAACGTTGCCAGCGTACCTTACTCTGCCCTAGCAAAAGAACAATTTTGCTCTGAGGAGGTGGAACCTCCCAGGACGTGCAGGCCTGGGGCGCTAGGGTATATTGCAAGCAGCAAACCCTAAAACGTCATCCCGAATTTGAAGCAGAGGGTGTTGCGCTCTGCTACCTCTAGTTACGACTAGACATTTGTTCTAAGGGAAAAGAGTTCAGGCCACAATAGGTAAACTACAGAGAAATTAGTATCAACATCAATAGTCATAACTCATATGTATGAATTCCTCTATTTTGGCCCACATATTATTTTGACAAAGTAATTTTCATCCATATCCCAGCAGAACTGTACAGTTGCCAGGAGCGGCATCACCAGTGCAGTTCTGACAAGTTTGCTGTCAAGTGGTAATACTTAATAATAGAAAACAGAAGTTCTATGTTCACTAAGAGTCATATTCATAAAAATGCATTTTCCCCTTTATTCCTCTACGTATAACAGCAAATACAACAGTTGGTGCAAAGGAGAGCAAGGCTACACAAAATATTAGGTTTTCTTTCCTCTCCAGTTTGAGGCTTTCAAAGGGGGATTCTTAAATTTGCCAACACTACATCTGGTATCAGAATTATTTTTCTCTGCTTCAGACTTAGACCAACATTCAAAATAAAACAACTTTAAGATATATTTCATTAACAAAAGTCATATTCTGTACTGAAAACCTAATGAAGTAAGAATCTTTTATCTGGGCCTTTTTTAAGCAGAAAATCTTCCCTTATTCCCTCTTCGAAGAGCTGTGGCCTGGATACTACACATTTCCTTAGGAACCACTACTGGTCCCGCAGCCTTCAAGAGCGTTGAAGGCAGCAGAATACTTAGCACTAAGAAAGGAAAAAAAAATTGCTGAAATTAACATTTCTTTAAAGACAAAATTGGGCTATGTTCCTAATAGAATTCTCTCTCTTTTGTCAGAAGAGCTGCAAAATACAGCCAAATATTGTAATGTGGAGATCTGCAAGTCACCAGGATCTTTTACTAGGACATGTCATTGTATCACGGTACTTTGGAACACACTGAAAAAAAGTTTATTTTTCAACCACTGCGATGATAGAGAAATACTTCAGAAAGTACACAGTCAGATTTCACTGCTGAAGTCGAGCCGTCCCGTTGCGGCAGTCCCCTCGCTTCACTGCACAGCCTGCCGCAGGAACAACTAACCCCGATCCGCCGGCCACGCACCACAACCTGCC